GGCAGCGGCGGAGGAAGAGTATCGTTTGTCTAGCTAAGACAATTTTTTGTCTTAGTGACAGGACTTCTTTTACAAGTCGGCTGAGTAGATCGCATCTCAATTTGACCTTTCCAGGCTCTGAAGAAGGCGAAACCGCCGAAACGTCAGCAATTGTGTTCTAATAAATTCTATATTAACAACCTCGTGTCTGCTTATTGATGAAAAACATTGAATCTATCTCATTTTCCATTATAATGGTAACTCACAATTCCAGAAGTACTAGTCTCAGTGCTGGACGTGGAAGTGTTTTCGTCGAGAATCCCGTAACCAAATAGGCAACATGGTGGTAAACCGAAGGTTTTACCTAGTACTCGTCGTCATTATCCCAGAATTCTCTGCAGGATCTGGTCGTCGCTTTCGTCATTCAAGATTCTATCTTTCTGAAAAAAAAATGAAAAAAGATGCAAAATACCACATATCACCGATTGCCACTTTCGAAATCCGACATACCACTTCATCCGTAAAAAATCGAAGAACACCTGGTCTGGACTGGATGAGACCTGAATACCTGGAAAATTTTCTATCAGTCCTAATCGACACACTGGCTCGACTGTTGAGAAGTTACCTGTCAGAATTCAGTGTTGCTACCACTCAATGGAAGACCAGTGAGACGTGTTTTTGTGCAAAAAGGAGGATCTGCGCGATATCGACATCTATCGCGCAATCTATATGTTGTCTGTCGTCTGTTAACTCATCACTCGAGTTATTTTGAGCAGGATTGACAGAACAGTAGAAAAGCACAACCTTGTGGGCAAGCAAGGTTTCGAAAATGACTCAGTACTGTAGACTATATCTACATGTTAACAAGATTAATTGAATTATTTCGGTAGTATAAGAGAACAATCTATTTCATTTTCCATTATAAGGCATTCAACTCAGTCGAGGAAGAAGTGGTGATGGAAGTCCTCGATAGCCAGCGCGTCGATGTTCAGAATATTAAGGCTTACCCTTAACTATATGCGAATTCCACAACCAGGATATCACCATTATACAACGATATTAACGTCGGCGACAAAAGAGTTGTTAGGCAAGGCGATACCATCTCACCAAAATTATTTACCGCCACTCTCCAGAACGTCATGCGAGCATTGGAATGGAACAACACGGAAGTGAAAATCGATTGTGAGATTGAAGGTAAATGCTCACTAGGTTCTGCAGCGGTTAAGACCAACTACAGTACTCTTACACGCGGCACAAACAAATGGAAAGTTTAGTGGAGCGCATTTGAGTGACTTGACACCAGAAGACAGGTGATGCAGACAATGCAAGTGAGCCTCAACGTTAAAGGATAAATGATAAAGCTCTCAGCGTCGATGAATCCCTGAAGGGTATACCGTGCATTCAACTTCATTAAACATCGTTAGAGGTGATGCATTTCTGGCCTGTATAATGGATTCGTAGTGGTCTACCGATGTATCGATTCAGTGTTGCTACCCCTGCAAACAAATGTGATGCCAATTCGCCAAACTGAAATGGAACTAAGGCTTAGTGAGCCTTTGACACGAGATCACGCCTTTGTGTAGTGGCTGGGCGAGCTTAATGACTGCGCTACATACGTCCTTGAGCCCCTGTATTAGACTATTCGATTGTAAAATCCAGTAACATGCTCGACATTCGATGTACACACATTTGTCATATATTCTATTATCTTTAATTATTGATACCTATTGCTTGTTTTCTTGTCTACTACTAGTTTTGAGATTCGTCAATTGATATGGAAAGAAGTTGCATTTTCAGTTGGTTGGTATGCTGATTCGGGCTCGTAAGTATGGTTTAGTGGATTTCGATGGCGAAATGCTGTATCAAAGACAAGACGACGAGAAGGTTATCAAGCTTCTCATGCCGATCACGGAAATTCGTCAACGAATGCAAGCTTCCGGGGATCCAAAGAACTGTGTGGTTATTTTAAGTAAATAAACGTGTTTCCTACTCTGACATCTCGGCTAAGAGTAATCGTGTATTCCTTTTCACTATTGAACTAACTCGAGGTTCTTATAACAGTTCATTCGGCTAACATTTCGGGGTTTTTGCCTCCTTCAGAGGCTGTTTGATCCGACTGGAATGTCCAGCTGTCTAGTTGCTGACCAGTTTAGTCATAATTAAAAGCAAATTGGTTTTGAACTATTGTTATGCTTTGTGCCAACTAGTAGTGATGCCAGCTGTTCTAGGACGGATTGTCCGGCAAAAAACAAACGATTAGCGACAACCAATCAGCAGTTAACAACTTTCCTATATAGAAGAGGTTGGGATTACTTCATTTGTACCGTGCTTCACTCAAGAAGACTCACCTGATTTGCTTTGATGTGACTGATAAGACTAGCATTGCGACAACGATCTGCTGCAGGCGATTGACTCGAGCCATTGCATTTCTCAAGAGCGTAGAGGCGCCGAAACGTTGGTCGACTAGAAGTTTAATAACAACCTCATGTTAGCTTATTCATCTGAGAAAATATCTCCAATGTTCCTGAGATCTTTGCAAAATCTCTGGGCCGCAGGTGTGCGCTATTGTGGGGAACGAACGCGCTACTGTCCTTTCCGGGGAGTAACGCTTTCACCACCACACCATGCGGGTCCTTTGTTCCGCCTGTCTCTCAGCTATTTCTATCGATCTTTGCCACAGCAATCACCCGTCAGCGGGATTGATCTGGGGCGCCCAAATCTGCATAGAACCCAGTTAAGCTGCGGCTGTAGTTGAAATCACAATGTTATACCTTTTTATTTTCTGCCTACTATAATTGGTGGTGGTGAACGCGTTACTCCCCGGAAAGGATAATAGCGCGTTCGTTCCCCACTATAGACACCTGCGGTCCAGAGTTTTGTAAATATCTCAGCAACGTTGTGGTTACATTTCGCTTAGTACCCTGCCGCGAAGTTATAGTAGGCAGAAAATAAAAAGGTATAACATTATCTCCAATGTCTTTAAATCATCGCTTTGAGTTCAACGCGGAAGTGATTTTGCGTAAGAAATTGTTTATGGAGATGTCATAGTCTTGTACATGTCCTTTATTCTAAATAGTTAACGGCTTCGTTAATCTACTAGATGAAGTCGAATTGGCTTTCCAGGTGAAGAGGAAAATTTTGAATTATACACTCAGATGGTGCAGTACTAACACGACTTCTGTCGTCTTTGCTGCAAGATTTCAACATTTGGTCGACGTCAGGTAAATGAATTCGTTCGAAGAAGGTTTCTTGTACATTTTTATGTGACGATATAAAGCTTTTCGGAGCTGAGGGCTGCCACAACTTAAGTGTTGGGCATACTATGGGATGATTATAAGAACAGCAGCAAAAAAGTTCTGTTAGGAAAAATAAGAGGCCGAAAAAATTGGGTCACAAATGACTCACCATGGCCAACATTCCCGACAATACGGTGAGTATTATATGACACAGTTATGACACACCTACGTGTTAATCATAGCATATCTTGGAGAGGTTGTAGTAAAGTTCATTAGTTACCGCTGTGTATCAATGCAGCTACGTTTGCTCCGCTCGCAGAAAGAACACGAAGACGACCACGTTTTCCTCAAATGTCTTTTTTCTTAGTAGATTTGTCGAAAGTTATTCAAAGTCTATCATCTATTCGTCATCCAGAGATCGGTACCAAACTTATTCGAAAACAGTTCACCTTGCAATCCATGTGGGAACGTTCAAGCTCAGCTGACCTAGGATTCCAAGGAGAGTCGACTCCACCAGCAATGAACGACATTTGTAAAGGAGACGACAATCTTCAACCAGCATTGGAATTTATGTGTTAAAAATTAGACGACTTTCATGGGTGAATGGTGAGAGGAAACGAATCCAAGAAGTATTGGGATCCGCACAGAAGAGCTGAAGACGGGTCGCGTAAAATAAAAGTCGAATTAAGTAGTTTTTTCCTCTTCATTCGTGCGGTGCTCCATTTTTTCCTATTCGACTCGATACGAACACGAAGAGCCACCTCGCAAAAATAAAAGCCTCTGCGCAATCAACACGAATCAATCCGACTCTGAAGAAAGCAGAGACAGCGATATGCTACCTGAATAAAGTTTCATGTAAATGTCTTAGGTTATGAAATAAAATAAAAAGTATTGATTATTTATACCTAGATTAAGTGAAAGTCGGTTTACAACCGTTTTATCGCGGTTCACTTTCTAACCACTCTACAATACAAGCTCCTCAGGTAGTACAAACACCCGAAGAAGACCTTATTTTAATCTATTATTTGCTGCCTACTCTTTTTAATGGCAGGGTATGTTGCGAAATATAACTTCAATGATGCTGAGATATTTGCAAAACTCCGGACTGCAGATGTTTGCGGTCGGGAATGAACGCGCTATTGTCCTTTCCGGAGAGTAACGCGTTCACCACCACACCACGCAGGTCCTTCGTTTCGTCCGTCTCTCTGCTAGTTCTATCGATCAATGCCATCAGCAATCACCAATCTGTGGGATTGAGAAAGATCTTATTGTTGAAACATAGAAAAATATGCGAAAACATAGATCAACACATCATATAACATCATATAATGTCCATATAGACGAGAAGAAATGTAGAGTGAATTCCAATGAGATACAAACAACGTCTAGGATGACTATTTACAAGATGGGTGAACGTGTTTGAGGATCACATAAACCACCTGTATTCTCAGCTTGAAATGACTAATGAAGTACGGAATAATAACTGCTGTGGCTAACATGTTTGAAACTCACCAACGCCATAGATGGCGATTGTAGTGAAGCAAATGAAATTTTCAAAATGTACGCAACATCTACTGAAGGACACACAGCCGCCCATCTACATGAATCTTTCCATCAGTTCCACTGACGAGTGAGCCAACTGGGTGCTGGTAGCACCTTGGTTGCGATGGTGTACGCTGTGAATAGGATCTAAATAGCTCTGCGGCTAAGGAGAAATAAATAGTTGGTCTTACTTGATAGTGCTTCCAGGCATTAGAAACGATCTAATGTTTTGCTATTTCGCCAAGCGCTTTACTGCAATACTTTCATAGAGAACTGCTTGGTTTTTGACTTTACATTCAAGGCATATCGATCTAAGGCCTCGTTTAGATGTTACAATTAGGATTATTCTAACAATAAACGACCGCTTATAACAACGCTGGCGTGCGAAAATTGGCCATACAGATGGGAAGTGTTTCGCACGTTTTGGAGGTTTCCTTTTCTTCAAATCCTTGAAGATTCAAGCTGGAACGCAACCTACTCAGTCAAGGATTTTTTAACGATAGCAACAAAACTCGATACTTAAATTTCAATCGCGTAGAAAACAGATTCTTTTAAAAACTCATCGTTTTCTTTAATGAGTCTTCCATTTTTTGATGAAGACCAGCTGCATATGGGTGGAGAGTGTACCCATCTCACGTAGAAAGTCAGCCTGGGGTGCAGGACAAAGGTCACATGTAATCAAAAGGTATTGTTCCCTGCGATTCGTATTCTGAATTTCTCGAATTTGTCAAAATCGCATCTGGTGTTTTACGCGCTGATGTTTTAGATTCTCGTCCCAGGAAAGGGTCATTTACTTCAAAATCCTCTCCGCTGTCTTTATCCTATGCGAACCCAGTGAAGTACTTTGTGTGACCTTCGGTTTATGGTCTAGGTGTTCCGGACGCAAAGTGGCCCCTCTGTTTCGCCAAGGTGTTCGCCGCCACATAATAAATCAGGCACGCCGTTCGCGAACTCATGCAGTCGTCGTTTCTTCCGTTAGGACTAATTATACAGTTTTGTAATACACATGAGCAGTTAAGAACCATGTGACGTCTTTGAGTTTCAGGGGTACCCATCGTGAAGCTGATAAAATCTCAGGGCCATTCTAAAGTGCATACATAGCAAAGGACTAAGGTGGCGAACTGCACTTATAATGCACTCACACTTGCATCTGAATCCTCGAAAGAAGATTTGATCATGCACGCAAGAAAAATAAAGTTTGACATCAGAGGACTGCCCAATATGAGACGATGCCAACCATTCAAGAGGCTCTTTGTGATGCCGGAGAAGAACTTTTCTTGGGAACGGACGACAATAGAGGAGTTTAGTGGCATAGGTTTTCTAGCAACGCATGTTTGGCCATGAATATCGATTCATTCGAACAACTAACAACCCGAATCGGACGTTTACAGTTGAAGACACGTGGATCAGTACCGGCTTTGATAGTCTTCGCCGTTGAAGTACCGACATCAAACTATGACGACGAAGTCGAAGCGTTCTATATGGACCTGCAGAAGTACTACAGAAAACACCATACATTGTTCAAGGTCATCATTAGAGCACTGGAGATTTTAACGCTAAGATCGGACGCAGAAAAAAATGCCTGGAGAACGTCAAATTGGGACTGACGGATTAGAATGGAAAGAACAGGATAAGCGGCTGTCTGGGTTTATCACGATGACCATGACCATTCATGGTAACTCGCAATTCCAGGAGCACCACCCTCAACGCCTGACGTGGGAGTCCTCCAATGGAGAGTACCACAACGAAATAGACCACATCGTAGTAAATAAATGCTTTTGCCTAACCGATGTCGCTGCTGTTCCAAAATTCTACACGGGATCAGACTATCTTCTCCTTCGTACAAGATTCTATTTCTCGCGGAAAGGAGAAAAAACCGCTGAATTCCAAAATCGAAGTCCCAGAACCACCGTAAACTGGGACTTGTTCAATTCATTAGTCGGCCGTTGGAAAGACGCCGTTGTCGATAACATCGACGAAGAATACGATCAGTTCATTTAACTTCTTCACGCTAGCGCTATGAAAGCTGAGAGTTCGAAAGTCACCAAGAGACGCCCATCTCCATCTGAAACATTCGACCTGAAACGCCAGCGTGAAATCGTACGA